CGAAACGCCCTACCTCCTCCACCCTTTTCGGATGGAGGTCCGGCGGATTGGAAACGCCGGACCTCCGACAGCCGTGCTCGGTCGGGGGTCGGGCGTTCCCGAAACGCCCTGCCCCCACCATCCTTCTTGGGTGGGAAGGGGGGGGCATCGGAATGGAAACCCTCGACCCCCTGCCTCGAAAGGATGGCGACGGTCCGGCGGACTGGGAACGCCGGACCCCTCGACCATGCATGGTTGTCTTGTATGCACCGTTCCCGACACCCTCACTAACCCCCCTTGCCGAAAAGATGGCGGGCGTATGGCGGGTCACGTGCCTTCTTGAATGTCTCGGACCACGTGCAAGTGTTTCTGTGTGGTGCTCATTACTGTTCTCCTGCCCATCTTTGTTTTGCATTTGCCACCGGCAGGTAAATCTGGTGCGCCGACCTCTGCTCAAAATAAACGGTACGGCAGGTCTAAGACTTACAACAACAAACCGTGGGCTCTTGACTGGGTAGGCGGTTTGCATAAACCGGGGTGTGGGGCTGTTATCTTCTTGAGCGATGACAATGGCGCCACTTGGTACTGTTTTGGGGGTGCGGAGAAATCCGAGGCGGGCAGGAAGACCTACGAAGGGAGGACGTTCAGGACCTTCTTCCTCACGTCCGTCTTCGACAGCGCTGGGACGGACTGGGTCAAGGAAGACAAGAAGGTCTCCCTTGACCTGCGTCTCTTCCCAGGATATGGCGTCAAGGCTTTCTCCATGAAAGCGTTTTACGTGCGTGGGGACGGAACTGAATTCCGAATGCTTTCTCCGGAAGAATTTCTCAGCAAAACAAACGCCAACCGCGTCACTGGCTGCCTTCCTGTTGTCGACAGTTCTTTTCGGATGAGCAAACCTTTGGTCCAATTCAACAGTCTGATGGACCTGCTGCCAGGTGTGGTTAAGCGGTATAGGGAAGACTTCTCGAAGCTGCCGCCTGATCAACAAACGGACTGTGTTTTTTTTCCCTTCGAGGCGGGTTCCAAGAGCAGGCGGCAAACCACGACAGGGAAGACAAAGCAGTTGCCGGGTGGGCCGTCGGGCGCGAATCTTCCCTCGCCCTCCGTGAGGGGAGGTCGTGATTTGGCTCAAGGTTCAAGCGAGGCAACGGAGTTTGATGACAGGCTTCTGCACCAGCGCAATGTGGGCCGTGAGAATTCCCAGGGCAGTGCAATTGCCCTGGACGAGGACAACGACGGGGACGAGGAAGGAGGAAGTGTCGGGCCGCATAACGACGGCGGTAATGAAGCAGATGTGGAAGTTGGGGATGACAACATGGAGGACCGGGGCGGGCTTGCTGACGAGGACGCCGACACACCAATGCATGGTCATGACATCTCCCCCGCCGGCGCTGTGGGAGCCGCTATTGGTCAACCCTCGACGTCTCGTGGAATTTCGCTATCGCAAAGCAGGAGTAAGGGTGGGCACGACTCACATGCAATGCAAGGACCGAAGGCGAGGAAAAGGACAAGGGAGACTTCTCCGTCTGCTTTTACTCACAAGAGGCAAGCCAGGACTGACGTTGTTAATGAGGCTCGTGGAGCTTTGACAGCGTCCCAGGAGGCACGGCCTCCTCGGAAGAACAGCCAAGGGGGGCGATCTGGGGGTCAAGGTGATGGCCGTGGGGGCGGTGGCTGTGGAGGGGCGCGGAAAGGCTCCCAGAGGGTGAGACCACAAGAGCTGCGGGACTCGGGGGATGAGGGCGAGGGAGTGGATCCTCGCATGCCCGAAGATGCTGATGAGCCGGTTCAGCGCGTCGCGCCCATCGACACTACGCGTTGTTTCTTCCTCGAATACGACGACCAAGGCTTTGCTACGCAAGACGTCCATGCTCTTCACGTGGACGTCATGAGAATCAAACGCATTCCTCGCAGAAGGATTCTTTTCAACCACCGCTCGTTGTCTGAAAACATTGTGCGAGGCATCGAGAATGCCATCGAAAGCTCCATCGGCACGGACCCGGGGGCGTGGGATAGGCCCGAGCTCGTGCTTGCGCCAGTTGATCGCAATGACATTGTCGGCGGCCAGGGAAGACGGATCACGCCGACCGAATTCTTGGAAAGGGACCTGGCAGAGTTCAACTGGTACGCTGTCTGTGGTCAGCATACCGTTGAGGCCATGAAGAGATTGGTCAGAAAGGGTTCCCCGGCAGTTAAAGTTTATGGCCTCAACGCGTACTCTAAGGTGCGGGTCGTCTATTTCGGAGATGATCAAACACGAGGGTATTTCAATGTCTCCTGCTTTGACAACACACGTGAAAATCGCTCCATGATGTTGTCATTCGAGGACGCTGTCCGTGACATCAGGCAATGGTGGTTAGACAACAATAGAATCGAGGCCCCGAAAGCCAAGGTCAGCGAGAAGGATGAGGTGGTCGTTGCACATCAGAAGACGTGGCAGAACTTCTTGAGGGCTTGCATGGGGAAGGCATGCGACAAGGCGTTTGTAAAGCAAGCTCTCGAGAATGAGTACAGTAAGGATTGGAGTAATAAACTCCGGGGCTACATGAACCTCGCCACATCCAGTGTCGCAGTGTGGCCGCTGGTCGAGAGGTTCTTCGAGATGTTCAACGAAGGAAAGCTGTCAGTTGGCGATGGCAAAATCCCGCTCGACATGCCCGGGAGGATGGAAGGCCGCCTGACAGGCCCGTACACCGACGAGACCAAGGGACAAAGAACATTGTACCATTGCATATATGCAATAGATGGTCCCAAAGGCTCCACCGTGTCGTGGAAGGATCTTTGTCCTTCCTACTTCAAAAATTTTGGGGATTTGACATGTCGTGAAAGGGAAGTTGCGTTGCTCCTGCTCATGAAGGGGAAGGTGGTCGCAACGAACGTCAAGGTCTTGCTCCAAGAGTGAACACAAAGTGTCTCCTCGACATCATGCGAAAGGAGCGGTACATGGTGCGTATCCGCGCCGAGGGAAGGGCGGACGACGAATGGAACGACGCGTTCTTTATGTCGTACAAGGACCTTGAAGAAAAGTATGGGCCAAACGGTCTGTGCGCTGCTGAATGGGAGAAGGAACGGGACAAGTTACATGTCAATAAGGTGAAGATGGTCCCTCGACGACTTGGAGGAGTGGAGGAGGCAAGGCAAGGTGCGGGCTTGGGGCCTACGGCGGCAATGTATAAGGAGGCTCCGTTTCACCTTAAGGTCTTCATATACACTGCAATTGATAAGCTCGATTTGCTTCGCGCCGAGGTGAAACGGATCGCCTCCAGCGCGCGTCATATTGTGTGGGACAAGATTGGCAAACAAACGACGTTGCTACCTGTGTGCATGCCATCGAAGGAAGTGTTGGCAGCGCCAGACGACATCGTCGCTGCAGCGCAAAAAATGACATGCAGGGCCGCCATCGTGGACATCCCATCCTCGAACTTCAGCACGGCGTGGACCTCTCGCGAATTTGATGCCTTGCAGGCATTGATGACCAAGTGTTGTGGCCAGAATTGGATCATTTTCTTCTTTGCACCGCAAAAGGTGCAAAGCGATGTTCTGCGTCACTTGTTCCGCTGGGAGGACGTCGAAGTCATCCCCGGGACCTGGAAACAGGTGGACAGGCCACCGAACGACATCACACGATACGGCAATATGGCTACGACGAGTCGAGATATGATGGTCATTGTCCTGCACGCCGACGGAGGGGATCTGAAAAAAGTAACTGTCAAACCCCGACTCCAAAATGACCTCACAACCGTGCACGTTGTGGAGGAGAAGTTCGGGAAGTGTCAAGGTAACTACGGTGGGATAGAGGGCGATGATAGTGTGGTGTATTCCATCTGGGAGCGAGAGCCTAGAAAGTTACGTTCGTTGTGCGGGTCGTTTGTCGGAGAGGCGGAAGGTGTGTTTTTGTTGGGTAGAGCGCACGCAGGTCTTGTGTGGGAGTTATAACTGGCAGGTAATAATGTCCTTGCCTGCGACGAGTCGGCCAAGGACATTGCATATCTGACAAAGTTCGTCGATATACTTGTGAAGGATGAGAGATTCGCCTGTCATGTCGAGAAGCCACGTTACAAACATCGTAGGAACAGGGACATGTTCCACAAGTTGGGACGCAAGAGACTGAAGGTGTGGGAATACATGTTCCGCGATGCGCCACAAGGACGGCTTGACGGGAATTACATCTACAGGAAAGCAAAGGTGACAAAGACCCTGAAACATTATCGCGGTGCTCTTACTGGCGCCTTTGAGACTTTTGTCGCTCGATGCGAGATCCTGAAGTTCGATCTTCATAAAGACCAGCTGATGTCCAAGGACTACGCTGACCTCGCGAAATCGGGTGACGGCTTTAACCCCGTCGACAGCGAGGAAGACTCTTCCGGGTCCGACCTCGAATTGAGCGATGGCAAGGGTGGTGAAGGTCCGGGCGGTGGCATGGTGCGGTCACACGATGAAGGGACCGTTCGCTCGCATGAAAGACCCGTACAGGTGGCCGCCCCCAGTGTTGGCTCGATGGTGGCCCCCATGGAGGGCACCGGTTTGCCAAACATGGGAATATGTGGTCCCAATGATGAAGATGACATTGATATGTCAGGCGAGGCGTTGAAGCTCGCACCAGGCAATCCAATTCCTCCCGGCTATTGTGTTGATCCGACCACAATTTATTTCTTGGGGGGCAAACATGCTCGCACTGGTGAGGACAAATGGGGCCATGACATCGTGTGGCATGAGGGCATTTTTTAGCCCTGCATCCAAGATGGGGAGTGGAAGATGGCGGTCAAATACACACGCGGATGGCAGACGTTTCGCCGGATGCCAAAGGACACTTGGCTGAAAACGATGGAACTCGCGATTATGTACCGCGTGCAAAAGGAGAATCCGGGGAAGAGCGAGGGTGCTGTCAAAGACAAGGCCAAAGAATTATTTTCTGTATTGCGAGACAATCGGCAGTTGGAGTATAGTTGGAAATTTTACGCCCTGCGAACGAGTCCCTCATGTGGGTCAATCGACTGAAAGGTCAATCAAACTATCGAAACCATGGAGGAAAGCAGCTCTCAGGATGCCGTGCCTTTGTCGGCATCGCCCCCCGTACCCACGCAGGCAGGGCAGAGGGAGGATGACGGGAGTAATGTGGTGAAGACTCAAGAGGTTAACATGACGTCTATGCCGCAAATCTCCGTCGACACGACAGAACCGTCCAAACGCATGGATGTGTCAAATGCATTGTCGTCAGATGCAGGTGCCACGTACGGGAGTTTATTACTGACATCCGCCGCATTAGAAGGCACATCCGAAATGCAGTCAGAGTCAGGTGTTGGCCTGAGCGTGCCGGACAGTCAGTTGCAAC